CTGTAATCTTTAAGCTTTTTTGTACAAGGCCTGTAAAATTGTGACAGAAAACAAATATTGTTAGTTGTAAGGAGATTAACAAAATATACTTAACTTGCCAGATGGTCCACAATTACCAGTAATATTATTATTAACTTACCACTGTGGCTTGGGTTCAGCCAGGCAGCACCGCCAGTGAGGATGAGTGTGTTATGCTGACAAGTTGAGTCTTACTATCATACCAGTGACATTTGTATCGTCTATAAAGATAGCAAAGCTGCAATTAATCCCAGATCATTCAATAAATATAACATTTAGAGGTATACATACTAGGAGGATATGTTCTTCCATATGTTCCCCTTTCCGAATGCTGAATCAAAAATAACTAAGAATGTGGGTGGCTAACCAGGCTGTGCCAGTTAGTATATTAATCACAGATGAATTTCAGCAATATATCATGGTGTACATACCAGTATACTTTGTGTAATGATGGAGTAAAAGTCTGAGACAGTGTTAAAATGGCAAAACATCCCACATGGGTGCACTAAAAGGTTTGTGCCATAGTGATGCCTTTGGTAAATGCCACATGGGCACTTACAAAAACTTTTCCTTGCAAAGCATTGTAAATGTAAATGTGCTGTAAATGTAAATGCTACAGATGTTCTTCTATAATCAGAACAGTAGTGGTGCCATGAAACATGCATATGTCTTGCAGAGGTCTGATGAAAAAGAATAGATAGAGTGGAAATTCTGAAGTCTTGAATGCCCTGTAAATTAAGAAAGTGTTTTCATATGCTTACTTCTGAACTGCATTGTTCTCCTTTTGGATTTTGTGCAAGACAAAGCTTTTAAGAAAAGAACATTTAATATAAGAGCATGTGAAATGAAAAAATCAGTTTAAAATTGAAACTTTCTGCAGTGTTTCTGAAAATTAGAGTATCATGAAAATAATCTAAGATAAAATTTTGGGGCCTGCAGGGCTGAACAGGAAGTGCCTCTGTAAATGCAAAAGGCAGCAAGGTGGAAGCAGGGACAAGTGACCCTGGGACCATGTGGAAGCACTGTCCAGCATGCAAGGAAGGGGTTAGGGAAGCCAAAGCCCATCTGAAATTAGAGCTGGCAATGGCTATGAAAGGCAGCAGTGGAGGCTTCTGCAAGTACATCAGCAGTAGGAGGCTAGAGAAAATGTGGGGCAGGGACCTGCTGACAAATGACATGGAAAAAGCAGTGGTACTGAATGCCTGCTTTGCCTATCCGTACTGGTTAGCCTGATCTTCAAGAGCCTAAGGCTCCTGAGACCAGACAAGGAAGACTTGCTTGTGGTAGAGGAGGCTTAGGTTAGGAAGTACTTGATGTCACTGCAAAATCACTCTTAATAATCTTTGGAAGGAGGGTTGCTGAGGAGTGAAAGAAAGCACATGTCATGTATTCTCAAGAAGGCGAAATTAGGGGTCTACCAGCTGTTGAAGGAGGAGAGGCTGAGGTAGGTGGGACTGTTGAGTCTGGAGTAGTGAAGGCTCAGGATGATCTTATCAATGTGTATAAATACCTCATGGGGTGGAGTAAGGAGATGGAACCAGACTCTTCTCATTGGGACCAGGGCAAGAGGTAAATTGAAATACAAACAAATTTTCTTTATAAGTTAAAAATACTGTGAAGGTGACTGAATGCTGGAGCCGGTTGCTCAGTGAGGTTTAGGGAGTTTTTCATCCCTGGAGATGCTCAAAAATAATTATCCCTGAGCAGTCTGTTGTGATTGAGCAAGGGGACTGGACTAGATGGTCTCTTCCGGATTTCCCTTCCAAGCTCACTACTCTGTGGTTTTAGAAGGCCTATTTTTAAACAAAATCATTGTATCAAAGGTTTTTAAGAGTTTTAATATGTATGCCCTTAGCAATTCTTGTGCTAAAAATCAGGTACTGGAAGGTAGGTGTGCTTCCAGAAGTCAGAGTGTTAGGGTGATATGCTGCTGTTTTACAAGTCAGGAAAAAAAAGGTGAACTTTTTATTTAGATTCTAGGCAGGACATAGAGGGAGGGTCCATGCTGCTTGACTTCCTAGTAGGCATCCTGCAAAGTTTTCTAGTGAATTCTTCAGATCACTTAAATGAGGAGCTTGTGTTTCTCCAATGACTGTATAGCGTGTCTGATAATGATGATCTTCACATGAAGCTGTTTCAGACACTGCCCACTTGGTCATACTGTGCCAGGTTTGAAGCTTCTTTCTTGCTGCTGTTCTGACTTTGTTCACAAGTGGCTCTAAATATTTAGCTCTACAGCTCTGTCTTTTTTTCTTTCTTTTTTCTCTTTTAATAGTACTTCTTTTTCAGTTGGAGCACAGTATACACTTATAAGAGGCAGCATGCTTTGAGATAAGCAAGGTGTTCTTGAGGTAGATCAGCCATGTCCTTGTTGCTTTGAGAGCTCTCCAGGAAATCTCTTAACACATCCTAAGGCCAGGGAAAGTGGTCTCTGAAAGAAATAGGACTCTGCTTAATCTGACCAAGCTTTGGAAAATGGTGGAATGTTTGTACAATGCCCCTGGAAATTCTGCAGAAGAATGCTGTAAGAAGTTAGAAGCTTAGGAAGTGTGGACTGAATGAATGGACAGTGAGGTGGATTGAGGACTGGCTAGGTGGCAGAGCCCAGAGGGTGGTGATAAATGGGGCTGAGTCCAGTTGGAGGCCTGTGGCCAGTGGTGTCCTGCAGGGTCAGTACTGGGCCCGGTGCTCTTTAGCTTGTTCATCAACGACTTCCACGAGGGCACAGAGCGCACCCTCAGCAAGTTTGCAGATGACACCGAACTGGAAGGAGTGGCCGACACCCCAGAGGGCTGTGCTGCCATTCAGAGAGACCTAGACAGGATGGAGAGTTGGGCAGAGAGGAACCTTAATGAGACTCAACAAGGACAAGTGCAGGGTCCTGCACCTGGGGAGGAATAACCCCAGGCACCCGTACAGGTTAGGGGTTGACTTGCTGGAGAGCAGCTCTGTGGAGAGGGATTTGGGAGTCCTGGTTGACAACAGGTTAACCATGACCCAGCAATGTGTCCTCGTGGCCAAGAAGTCCAAGGGGATCCTGGCTGCATCAGGAGGAGCTTCTAGAGAGGGTCCAGTGGAGAGCCACAAAGATGATTAAGAGACTGGAGCATTTGTCACATAAGGAAAGACTAAGCGAGCTGGGCCTGTTTAGTCTGGAGAAGAAGAGATTGAGAGGAGATTTGATGAACATGTTCAAGCACCTGAGGGGTGACTGTAGGAAAGATGGGGCCAGGCTCTTTTCCGTGGCGGCTGGTGACAGGATGAGGGGTAACAGGTGTAAGCTGAAACCCAGGCAGTTCCACCTCCATATGAGGAAGATCTTCTTTCCTGTGAGGGTGTCAGAGCCCTGGAACAGGCTGCCCAGAGAGGTTGTGGAGTCTCCTTCTCTGGAGATCTTCCAAACCTGCCTGGATGCCGCCCTGTGCCACGTGCTCTGGGTGTCCCTGCTGGAGCAGGGGGGTTGGACTGCATGATCTCTAGAGGACCCTCCCAACCTTAAGCATTCTGTGAAGTATTAAAAAGTTGATTGTGTGTAGTAGCATTGATATAGTAAAGTGGAACTTTTATGTTGAATGTTCACTTCAAGTCTGACATTAGCAAGTTAGGGGTAGAGAAAACATAGTTGAAGTTGCACTGTTTTTATGTCCTTGTTGTGGACATAGTGAAGGCAAGGATTAATAACTTGGAGCTGGGAAGATAGTCCACTGCCTGAAAGGGTATTGATGCTTGTAGTAATGGGAGTTCAGGCTGTAGAGATGAAAACTTCAGTATAAAGTGGGGAAGTTGATGGCTGAAATGGTACATGAGGTATAGGAAATCCATGCAATTTTTCAGTTATGAGGGAGTCCATGTAATGGTATAACTACTGAAAGGTTTATACTGACGTTTTGCTAGAGAGCAGCAGAACAGTCACAGATGCATGTTCTGGTATCTCAAGGAGACACTATAATGTCTCCTTGCTTAAAGTAATTCTGTAAATTATTTTAGAGGAAGTAAGGAAACTGAAGTTGTTTTCAGATATGAAACTACGAGATGACAATTGTTTTCTTCTGATGATTTCTGAGTTGTTTATAATAAAAGTGGGTTGGTAGGTTTTCAGTCAAGAACATTTTTGAGGAAACTTGGTGAGAACTGAAATGTTCTTGGCGTAGAATTAATGCAGTTCAGACAGTCCTTTGTTATGTTTGGTGTATGTAGGAAACTTTCTCATTTTTTGGACATCCGTGGCCTACCTTTGCATGTTGCTGCCCTTCTCCAGTTATTTGCGTCTCCGTGAATGGAATTTAAATGCTAACATATCTCAGTGTAGAGTCAGTGATGAGAGGGGTCTGGAGAGTGCATGGGGCTGAAGCTAGAGCTGCGGAGCAGAGAGGTGATGCTGCCCTTGAGTACCCAGAGGCCCTACCCCCAGCCAGGCACTTTCTGGAGTTGGGGGAATGCAGAAATAAAAGACATTTGTTTGGGAAGAGGGTGGTGCCTGTTGTTGGCATGTGTATTGGCAACAGCACCCCCCGGGTGAGAGTGGGATGTCATTGCCATGGGGCAGGAGAGTCACCTCAGTGGGAGCTATGGCCAATGTTTGGCACTGCCCTGTCAGGCATGGGGCTCTGAGAACAGTGCCCATCTCAGCATTAGAAGTGTAAGTCACTAGCCATGTTTATTTTACTTCTTTGCTGCATCATGAAATATGAAGGGTATTGAATTATATGAGTATATAATGTATTTTTACCTACTGTCCTATATTACCCCAAGAATCTGTAAATTTAAAAGCACTGAATAAATGTATTTCAGTAAGTTCTAACATACAAATCTGTCATTATGACTTCAGGAACATAAAACTCCTCATTTTTCTTTACAGACTTTTAATCAAATTCCATAGTTGGAAGAAAAATACCATGCTGCTTTAGAGGCTATAGAGGCATAAAATAGTTTAACTGTTGTTTCCGTAGTCACTGTATTCATGACTGTTTTCCTTTTTTCAGAGGTGTTGTTAAAGTTGACATAAATCTGCAGAAGGTGGATATTGACCAGTGTTCAAGCGAGGGGTGGTTTTCAGGAACTCACAAATGTCATCTCAACAGTTCTGAGGTAAGTGCGTGAAGGAACTGGCCTGCACCTCAGTAAAAGAACCATCTTTTTGCTATAAATTTGTATAGTAAAAATCTAGTGGTTTTATGGTCTTTAAATGTGATTTATAGACTAAAGAGATCCTTCTGTGCAGAGTATAATGATATACCTGATTTTTAAGACTGCCCTTGCTTAAGGAATATTGGCATTAAATAAAACTGAATCTAGCTTATTGTGCAGAAATTAGCTGGAGGGACAAAGATATCAGTGAAATGATTTATGAAGTTCTGCTTGCAAGTCAAACTATTATTTTACACATAGAATAGTCTTGTAAGAAGAGTCTATCAGTTTTGACTGCATAGATCTGTGAAATACAGTAAAAGTGGTTGAAATGCTCCTTGTATTCAGAAAAAAAATACTTAGGCTTTTGGAAGCCTAACTTACATGGAATATCTTGCAGAACTGGATGTTGAAATTACTTTTTATTTAATAGAAATCCAACATGTTGACAGAGCTGGCTGAATGTTTCTGTTCACCTCCTTCCTGCTTCCCCTGTCTCCCGAAGGTCTCTGTCTGGCTCTGCCTGTTACTGTATCATAGATCACTTTGGCAGGCCAGTTGTATGGATTCAGTGAAACTTTAAAACCAAATTGCATTCAGTGATTTTCCTTTTGTTATCATTATACCTCACGCACTTGTGTACTTTCAAAAAGGACTAAGATATAGGGATATATATATATCCTTAAGATACAGAGAGTTAAAAAAATAGGGGAAGCTGACAGCTATATATAGCTATATATATATATAAAGTAAGAGACATTTGGCTATTTTTTCATAGTACAATCATCAAAGCTAAATCTGAACTTAGGGAAGAGTCAGTTTTAATCAATTCATTATTTTGGGGGGACAAGAAAAGCTTTAAATTGTTGTAAAATCTTTTTTCATTTGAAAGCCTGACTTTTTTTCTTGGAGGTAAAATCAAGCATTTTTCGTTAAAAAACACTATATTTAAATATAGTATTTCTTTGGGTAGAAAAAGGGTTTTATTGCTCTGTTGGTTAATAATTAACTTTACATTCTGAATTTGAGGAGAACATTTTCTTCAGTATCGCGTGTTTCTTCTGCAAAGAACATACTGTTTTCTGTGATATCTGGTGAGCACTGCTTTTAAGGTGAACTTTATATTGTAATATTATTGTGCATTTGTGCAAGGAATGCTTGCAAAAGCTGAAATGTCAGCAGAGGGTTGGGATGCTAAGTTGCACCTCTTCCTGCAACCGACAAGAAAAAAAAGAATCTTAAGAATAAGAAAAATCCAGACAAAAGTAAAATGAATATAATGAAGTAGTGGACTGCTTTAACTTTTGCAGCAACTCTGCTGGATGGGAGCAAACTTAGCTTGCATTATGTTCAAAGACACAATTACAGACCATATTTGTTGTAAGGGACTCCAAATCATGCACCATATCTATAACATCTAGGAAGACAGAATGAATGTCAACCAAATCGGCTGTAATTCCAAAATTCAACTCAATGGAAGTCCTTAACGGTGCCTCTTAGGAGTGGAAAAAGCTGCTCACTCTGGAAGCAATTTTTGGAGGAAGGGGGAAAAGTAAAAGCCTTTCTTTACTCTCCTAGCTTCACTTTTATAAGGCTAAAAGCTAGTTTTTATTTCTCTGTAGAATTCACTCTGAGTATGAAAAGGGGCTTTCCTCATGCATATGACATTTATTAAAATCTATTTTCCACTCGATTATTGCACATGAGGCAAGTGGAATATCATTTAGGAAAATGGGTGCTGAAGAAGACTTTAATAGCTACAGGACTAGCAAAATATACTTTATTTCCACAATTGTTATATTTCAGTGGGAAAGCTGGGAAATTTCACGTCTGTGGTTTAGCCTTTTACCGTGTCACAAACGGGTGCCTGGGAGGTGACTGCTGTGGGCTGCTGATTCCGGGCTGGAGCCCCTGCCAGGCGCAGAGACTTGGTGCTGCTGGTAGAAGGAGCTTCCAAACATCACAGGATTCTCACTCCTGAGTGTCCTGACTACAGAGGGGATAATGAGTGTTGTTTTTCTGCCGAGTCAGTGTTTAACATCTCTTATACTTAAAATACCTGCAATGGATCAGTTTTTCGTGTTGAAATTTGGTGTGTGTTGTGAAGCTCCTTGTGCCAAAGTGTATTTACAGAACTCTTATTTACAATATTCATTGATGCTGTTGTCTTTTGTCTTTTGTCTTTTTTTTTTTTTTTTTGGTCTCTGTTTATTTGGTAGAGTGTTTTCCTTGTCCTTGAGAGCTAACAGACTGCTGTAGAAAGTCTTCAGCATGCTGCTTTTACACAATACTTTATACTTTTGAGTCCCACTTGATGTGTCACCGCAGTGCCAGAGCTGGTTGGTGATATTTTGGAGAACAGGAAGTGTAATGCTTGCTGACGTCATGAAAGATGTTCTATTTTTCATATTGGAAGGCTGTATGTTTCTGTTTTAGTTAGCTTACTGTGGTACTATAGCCCATAAATGAGTTCCCATGATGTAATAAGGAATTAAAATGTATGTTCCATGGTGGAAGTTCTATTCCTCATTGACGCAAGAAATAGGAATTTCCTTGGGCGCCCCAGCAGGCTCCACTGATTTTACTACCTAGATCTTCATTGTGTATTTGGGGCATTTGCACATCTAGTGACACCTAGATGTAAATGCTTAGATGTGGGTGTCTTGATCTCAAACCAAATCCCTCCATTAGATCTGCTTAAACGTGTATGTGCAACTGTGGGAATAGGAATTCTTCAATGAATGATGCTGTGTCTGTGAGATGAGTTAATGTCCACAGCTTAAGCACTTAACGTGGAGTAGGAAGTGACCACGGCCTCGTTAATGGCTTTCCAGCCTGTGTGCAGAGTAACCATCTGCCAACTGTGCGTCCTGCTCCATGGCACTTAAAGGGCAAAGTCACCAAGAGTCTGATGGCTATAAGAAGGATTTATAGGTCACACAAACTTCTCCTAGAATGAAGCTTGCCAGTCGGGAGTGCTTTTCCAAACTCTGAGGAGGAGAGAAGCCAAGTGCCTTAGTAACATCAGCGGTGGGGTGGGAAGTTGCTGGAGACTCTGTGGAGGAGCAATTTCTGTGCTCTGTGGCCACCACTTTAGGAGAGGTCAGCCTGGTGGGAACCTCCACTTTGTCTTTGCAGACAGAGAGCCCATATGCTGTGTTTCATGCTTAGTTTCTTAGGAATCTACCCTGCAGAGCAAGGATAAATTACATGGTTGTGCAATAATACCTATCTACTCAGTGTGTCTTATAAATGCTAATGAAATAGTGTTCTCCATCTTCCCTTTTATCATCTTAGAGCTACAGAAGCACCTGTTGATGCTGAAATGTTTTGTCCCAGATTACAAATTCTTCAGCAGAGTGGGACAAAAGTGCAGATCTCTGCGTTTTCAGTAGAGTAACTGTTTTGTTTCTAAGTTAGACTGGCTTAGTGACTTGAGCATTCAGAGTGGTGTGTACCCCTGCACTACCTTTGCTGCTAGGCCCAGGGACCAGTATCATTAAATATGAGGCATAAAGTCCAGTATTTCAGAGATCCAAATGCTCTCTTCCATGTGTAACACTAAGGAATTCTAAGCGACATAGAAGAAGGAAAGGAGCAGACTTATAGAACAGACAGAAGAAAAACAAAAATTTCAAGTTAATAAATTGCTTGCTGCTTTATTTTGTACTATAGTTCCATCTTTTTTACAGCGGCTAAAATCTACTGTGCAGTTCACAGACAAATTTTACTTTAGGAGAAGTCCTGAAGTATTTATCATCTAGATAAAAATGAGTTGTGGTCCATTATAGTGAATGAAAGCATGTTGGGGTTGAGGAAACCAGTGGTGGGTATGTACTGAGGCCAGACAACAAGCAGGAAGGAATGGATGGGACCAGAATTTTACTTTTCAACAAGTTTCTCTTTCTGTTGATGTACTGCATTGCTGTGCTGCTGGTATGGAGTCATGAGGAGATGCCAGTATTGCACGATGGAGAAAAAATATGCTAATCCATGCTTGAAAGAAAAATAGTGTATGATTAGGTAATTAAAGAATATTATGGTGCAAATGCACAAAGTGTTTAGACATCCTGTTCTTCCTCTAACTTCCACCTGTCCTTTATCTCGCTTTATGTATTTTGCACTCAAACACACAAGTAAATTCAAGGAACAGGAACTGTAACCTAATTTTAAGGTGACTGCCTAAATTATTGTTTAATGTCATGTTTCCTCCTGATTCGTTCTTGTTTGTGCCCAGGGCTCATATATCCCTGATGTCAGAGCAGCCTGGATGAACTGAGAGCGCAAGGGTGTCCTCCAACCGTAGGATGACTGGAAACTGCCCAATTGGATTAGGCAGAAAGCTACATGAGGCATCGCAGGGTGAAGCCAAACTGCAGCAGTGGTCAAAGTCTTTCAGCTGTGGTTTATTTTATTTTCTTGTTTTCCTATTCTGTAGCAACCAGAAAGGAAGGGGGTGCGACACTCCACTGGAGAGTGTCCTGGATACCTTCAGATTCCTGGGTTAGCTGTACTGAACCCGAGAGATCATCATTTCTCAAGTAGAACTTTTTGGGAATAAGAGATTATAACAAAGCTGAAAGTAAAGCCAGAGGTGTAACAGAACGGAAAACACAGATGCATGTCAGAGCTCTGTGGTTAAATCCCAGGTACCGTGTGGCACAGTGACTGCTCTAGCCCCGTTACGGTCTCCCCCAGCTCCTGCAGTGACAGGCGCGTGGTACCGCCAGCAACTGCTCTCCCTGCGTGCACGTGGTCCCATCTTGTCTGCCCTTGTCAGCCGTGAGGTCACTGCAGGCTGTGCCCCTGGGCCACCACATCCCTGTAGTGCCCTGCCATGGTGCTCCCGGGTTTGGTAAGTCCTGGGGAGCACCCTGGGACAACCCCTCTTCCAGGGATGGCCCCAAGCAAAGGGCTCTGCCTGTCTGGGGCTTTGCACAGGTGCTCCTGAGCCTTGCAAG